GGATGCTCGGTAGGAGGGACTAACAAGGGCTAAGGTCAGAGGAACAGTAGGAAGGCCAGTGAGTCCGAGCCGCAGTGAGTGAGAGCAGGAGAGAGGACCACCATGTTCTCCATGTGCCACCCATTTAGGCTCTTGGCTCTCTGGTCTACTCTCGTATTTAATGTATTTGGTCTCATCTTTCTATCTGTCAGTTCACCCATTCATCTATCCCACAAACACGTATTACCAGACAGCAGGCAGCACTGAGTCCTGAAGGAAGTGTTCTGCACGCAGAAGGATGACCCACCATCTAGGCAGAGAAAGCCACAGGAGCCAAAGCCTAGCAAGGAAAAGCTCCCCACTGCGTGGGGCCTGCTGAGAAGGGCTTGCATGCCTGGCCTCATCTCCACCATGTTGGTAGAGCAGAGCACCTACATGCAGAACACCGGGAAATGTATACACACACACACACACACACACACACACACACACACACACAGTTAATCTAAGACTCTGGGAGAAATCTGATAGAGTCTTATACAATAGTCTAGTATAGCCAAGTGGTAGCGGGGACCAAAGGCTTAAGGAAAAGTGAGGGGAGGGATGCTTATAATGGAGACTATTCCATCAATTAGCTAATTTTTTCCCTGCCAACCAAGAAAGGCCTTCATTAGTTACTGTTAGTGATGACCCGGCCTTGGGCACCTGCTTGCTGCCGAGCGGCGCTGCGCGGGCCAGAGGGAGCTGTCTCAGGGCCTCAATCAGGCGGCGACGTGATGAGATTTGTGCCTTGGAAAGGTCAGCGCGGCGGCAGGCAGAGGATGGATGGAGGGGAAGGCAAGGTGTCCCTTAGAAGGCTGTTGGAGAAACACACATAAGGAGAACCAACATTGGAGCAGAGGTGGTGGAGACTGGGCAGGCTGGGCACAGCCACTGCTGCATTCTTAGAGATGCCCACTGAGTTGTCTGGTTGGAAAACAAACAAACAAACAAACAAACAAACAAACAAACAAACAGACAAAAAGAATGGAGTCTAGACAACACAAAACTTGCCTCTCTCTGGAGTCCCTCTGCTCGGGAGAGGCACTGTAGCTGAAGGCAGACAGAGCTAGGGAGCTTTCTGAGGTTGGGCAGACTCAATAGTTTTGGGAAGCTATTTGGGGAGATAGAACCCAGTGCTCCTGTTTCCTCAGTCTGGCCAGAATTTGCCTATTCTGTCAGGTTTGTGCAAATGAGACATTCATTAAGCTTGGGGGCTTTTGCTGCTTCTCTGAATAAAAGTTACCTTTTATCAAGGCTCTTACAATAGGCGCTCGAAAGACCAAAGTGCAAAGGTGTCCCGTGTGGCCATGTAGACCCCTCTTCTACATGAGAGGATGGCAGACACTCTCCAGACATTGGATTCCCAAGCCACAGAACAAGAATCTCAAAAATGTGCCAGAGAGGCGGTACCCCGTTCCTGTCACCAGGCCCTCTCTCTGGAATTCGCTGTGATGCTTTCCAGGGAGAGTGGAGCCACTGTGAGCTTTGTGTCAACGCGATGGTTACTGTAATGAGCCATGTTGCCCATGTATGGGCACTTACTCTATGCTGGACCCTCCCAGGAGGGCTTCCGGAGCCCCCATTTCATAGAAACTTCTTCGCCACAAGGGATGAGTCTCACCCTGCTGACCTATTTTGTCTAACCACAGACCTGCCAGCACTGGAAGCCTTCTTGTGTACATGCCATTGTCTGACCTGGGCTGGGAAAGCCTGTGTTTCTGGTTCCCTTCCACACCGATTAAGATGACAAGAAGACAATGAGGCACTTGTCTCCAAAAGTGACTTCTTGGATCCACAGGCAAAATGTTAGAAAGTGGGTCTGAAGCCCAAGAAACAGGACACCCAGGCGCTTTGAGCTTGGGGAGTATTACAGAATCCCAGCCCTGGCCAAGAATGAGTCACAATGAAAGCTTTTAAAATATAAAACCATCAACCTAGATTTCAATTCCAAGGAAACACATACTTGGCCACGAGGGAATGCTTAAAAAAAAAAAAAAAAAATCAGGCTTAAGCCACTTGACAGGAAAATAAAACAGCCAAGGAACATTCAAATATAATGATTTACATCCTCCCCCTCCTTTCCCCTCCCTTCCAATATGGGTCAGGCCAGACCTGGACTCGGTCTCTGCCAGAGTGCGTGTCCCTCTCCGGCTCCCTGCTTTCCACTAACACATGTAATCCTTCGCCAGGCTAGCGCTGCACGGTGCCGCCTTGGGGTCGCTGTGCCAATCTCGTGGAATCTTCATGATCTCCCTGTGCTGGGGCTCTGGGTTTGCTTGAGGTGGCTTGGGAATATGAGAATTTTTCTTCCATTATTTATGTGTGCAAGCACTGTTCATTTCGCTCAAAGAAATGGGAGCCTGATTGATTTCCTAAACATAAGAATGAGGTTGCCCTGCAATAAATATTTAAGACCGACCAGGAAGGGCAACTACTATCTGCTAAAACACCAGCCTAGAAATCACTTTCCCAGGGAAGGAATGAATGAATAGCCATCCTATCTAATATTTGCTCAGCCCCGGAGAGTTTACAAAGGCTTTTCACTTATCACATTTGATCACAATAGCCCCGGAGAGGTGAACAGGGCATGGGTTACAGGGATTGTTAAAACCCCACATTTTTTTTTTCTTTCTTGGCAGATAAGGGCTGTAAAGGCTTAAAGACACTGCAGGAAGGTCAGACAGCATGGGGACTAATTCATTCATACACATATTTAAACACGCGCACACATTTATCTGGAGCCTATTTGCAGCCAGAGAAAATGGCAGTACAGAGACAAATAAAACACGGTCTTTGCTCAAACCCTGCCAACCGTGTGCCAGGGTCAGCTGTCCCTGGGGGAATCATATACAGTGTGGGGACACAGCTCTCCCTCATTTGGCAAACATTTTCCGGGTGCAGAGCTAAACCGGGGTAACGCACAGGCTCCCCGAATTTCCCTGCACGAGCTAACTGGGGTCTCTGCTTTTACCGAGGCGTCTTCCCCTGCCGCGCCCTGCAGCTCCGAGAGCGGCGGCTGCCCTTTCCGCCTGTCCCGCTGGCGAGGCAGCACCGCACGGGGCTGGATCCGGGAGTGCAAGCTGCCCCCAGCCCCGCAACCCTTTCCTGGCTCCCTCCTCCCCGCCCCAGCCCCGCAGCCCCTTCCTGGCTCCCGGCTCCCCGCTTCTTTGTCTTTTGTTGTGCTTGTTACTGTATCTCCCAAACACATTTCAGCATGCTTAGTGACACAGCCGGCACTCAGAACCGCTCTCCTCCGAGAACAATGGCCGCGGACGATGGAGGGCGATCGGTGGGCGATCGGCGGAGCCTGGGACCCGCCGCCACGCCCGGCCTTTGTTCCCGGGCTGCGCGGCCCCGCGCTCCGCTCGGCGCCGGGAACGCGCAGCCCGCGGTCAGGCTGTCAGGCGGAGCGCAGGCGTCAGCCCGCGCCGATTCCTTTGTTCAGTTCGCACTCCCCGTCCCCGCCAGCCCCCCGCCGTCTCCGTGCCCCGACCCGCTCGGCCCGCCGCGCCTGGGCGGTTCCTGCCCAACCGACCTGCGGGGCCCGTCCCCCCCCCCCCCCCCGGGTCTTACACACACACACACACACACACACACACACACACCCGCACGGCCTGAGTGTGAGAGCGCGGCCGGAAGGCAGGGCTCAGGGCTATCGGTTCGGGGACCTTTTCCACTGGGACCCACAGCCGCACCCCCACAGAGGGCGACCGCTGGGGGGCGCCCCCACGACCCCTGACTGCAGCTCAGGGCCTTTTGGATTGGGGAGCTTTAGCTGTTGCTTTTGCCTTTTTTTTTTTTTTTTTTTTTTTTTTTCCTTCTTGTTTTACAGCTCCGGGTTTTGTAGAATTGAAGGGAAAACCGGGCGCGCCGGGCGGCCTGCAGTGGAGCGTGCCCGGCCTGCAGAGGCAGTCGTCTCCGACTTCCCTCCGCCCGCCCGGCCTCGCACTTCGCCCCCGGGGCCCAGTCTGCCCCCCGCCCACACCCCGCGCCCGGCCCGCAGGGGGGCAGCGTGGGCGCGCGCGCACACACACACACCCCGACACACACACACACACACACACACCCCGACACACACACACACACACACACACACACACACACACACACACCCCGACACACACACACACTCACACACACCCCGGCGGGACAGGCCGCCCCGGGGCGGGGCAGGGGCAGGGCAGGGCGCCCCGGAACGTTGCGGCGGGGCAGTGGCGTCGCAGGGGGCACTCTGGAGAGACGGACAGGAAGAGGGCCGGGGGACGCCAGGGCCGGGACCGCAGTACGGAAACGGCCCGGGGCTGAGCGGCAACTCGGATCCGGGATGGAGGGAGCCCGACCAGAGGCGTGAGGAGGCCGGGGCAGGCCTGGCTGCCTTCCCGGTGCCCGGGGCCGCCGCCTGGCCGCGGAGGAGAGGGGGCAGGAGTCGCCCCGGGCCTCGCGGGCGCACACAGGCCCAGGAGGCTGCACCTGGGCCCTGGAGTCCAGGGCCCTCGCCTCGCCCAGTTGTCCAAAGAGGGCACAGGCCACTCCCCTGCTGGGGAAACTGAGTCAGGCCCCAGCCCCACAGCACGGCCCCCCGCGTGTGTGAGCCCGCCCAGGCCAGGGAGCCAGGCCCCGGGGGTCTCCACACTAAGTGGGGGCAGGGGGCTTCACGGCTTCGCCGAGCTGGATTGGCGAGTCAGACGCTTGTAGATCCAGCGTTGGATTGGGGAGGGGTCTCTCAGACCATGGCCAGCTAGGCGACGATTGGGGGGATTCAAGTGCTTGGAGATCGAAGGCAGGTCCTGGGGAGGGGGCTCGGACCACTGGAAGGCCTAGGCGCTATTTGGGGAGGGGTCTCCCGCCCGGGCGCAGCGCGGAGCCGCCGCTGCGGCGCGGAAGGCAGCCTTTGTGCGGGTGGGCCGCCCGGCCCGGCAGCGAACAGACAGGGCTCGTCAGTGGGCGGGGGGCTTCTGCGGGGGTCACGGAGGGGAGACATGGCCACCCGGCGTTTAACCGACGCTTTCTTGTTGTTGCGGAATAATTCCATCCAAAACCGGCAGCTGTTAGCCGAGCAAGTGAGTAGTCACACCACCTGCAGCCCTCTGCATTCACGTAGCCATGCTGCGGTGAGTCCTGGGCGGCCTCTCCACACACGCCTCGTGTGCACTGCGGCTCTGCCTGTCTGTCTGTCTGTCTGTCTCTCTGTCTGAAGAAAAGATGAGAATTATACGGCAATGCGAGCTCTCTTGGCATCTGTAGCCCTGGATGGGGCGGGGGAGGGGAGAATCCATTTTAAGTCCTTGCTCTATCCCTGCCTAGCTCTCTTCCTGCTCACTTCCGCCACCCTCTCCATTCCCTCCTCCCCTCCCCAATCCACCCCCCTCCTCCCCCTCCCCTCCCCGATCCACCCCCTCCTCCCCCTCCCCAATCCACCCCCCTCCCCCCCTCCCCTCCCCGATCCACCCCCTCCTCCCCCTCCCCTCCCCCTCCTCCTTCCCCTCCCCGATCCACCCCCTCCTCCCCCTCCCCTCCCCCTCCTCCTTCCCCTCCCCGATCCACCCCCTCCTCCCCCTCCCCTCCCCCCTCCTCTTCCCCTTCCCCTACCCAATTCACCCCCCTCCTTCCCTCCCCGATCCACCCCCCTCCTCCCCCTCCCCTCCCCGATCCACCCCCCTCCTCCCCCTCCCCTCCCCAATCCACTCCCTTCCTCCCCCTCCCCTCCCCCTCCCCCCACCTCCTCCCCCTTCCCTACCCAATTCACCCCCTCCTCCCCCTCCCCTCCCCAATCCACCCCCCTCCTCCCCCTCCCCCCCTCCCCATCCACCCCCCCCTCCTCCCACTCCCCTCCCTGATCCTCCCCCTCCCCTCCCCAATCCACTCCCTTCCCCCTCCCCTCCCCCTCTACCCCCTCCTCCCCCTCCCCTCCCCAATCCACCCCCCTCCCCAATCCAGCCCCTCCCCCCTCCCCTCCCCACCCCCCCTCCTCCCCCTCCCCAACCCCCCCTCCTCCCCCTCCACAATCCCTCCCTCCTCCCCCTCCCCAACCCACCCCCCCTCCCCCCTCCCTTTCCCAACCCACCCCCCCTCCCCCCTCCCTTTCCCAACCCACCCCCCTCCTCCCCCTCCCCTCCCCAATCCACCCCCCTCTTCCCCCTCCCCACCCCCCCTTCCCCTCCTATCCCCACCCCCCACCCCCCTCCCCTTCCCAACCCACCCCCCTCCTCCCCCTCCCCTCCCCAATCCATCCCCCTCCTCCCCCTCCCCTCCCAATCCACCCCCCTCCTCCCCCTCCCATCCCTACCCCCCTCCTGCCCTCCCCTCCCCAATCTACCCCCCTCCCCACCCCCCTCCCCTCCGCAATCCACCCCCATCCCCTCCCCAATCCACCCCCCCTCCTCCCCCTCCCTAACCTACCCCCCTCCTCTACCCAATCCATCCCATCCCCCCTCCCTTCCCCAGTTCACCCCCTCCCCTCCCCCTCCCACTCCCCTTCTTCCCTGGTCACCACAGGACCATCCGCCCCCATTTACATATGTTTTAGCGCTGAGATTTGAGGCTTTCTGAGGCCTTTTGTTCCTCCCCCTCTCCCGCCCCGCCCCGCCCCCGCACGGAGCCTGGCTTCGGCCCTGATGGCCTGTGCGTGATCGCAAACCCAAATCCCCGCAAATGCACGACGCCTCCCCGCACGAGGAGGGCCTTTCTTTGTTCTGCTCCTAATGGCCGCGCGGCCCTGCACCTGCAGTCCCCGGCTCCCGGGCCGCGTGTGAGGCTCAGGGTGCCGTCCGGCCCTCGTTTTCCATTTCCCCGACAGGAAATTAAGCTTTCGCTCCCTAAGATTGAAAACGTAACAGAATGTGATGTGCTTGTGACAGCGAACCCCATACCGCAGGGCTTTGTTCGGCCGCGGAGCCGGCCTCGCCGTCATGGCGCCCTTTGTTAGGAGCTGCGAGATGCGAGGCCTTTGTCTGGGCGAGGCCTGCTGCGCCCCCGCTTCCTCAGGGGCGCGGGCCTGGACCGTCTCAGATAAGACAGTGATTAGCAGCTCGTCAAGTCCTAGGTGGAGAAGGGAAGCCACGACATTCATTTTCAGAGGGGGGGGGTCCCCTTTGTCTGAAAGCGGCCTCGAACAAAGGGAATAAATCCCTCCCCTAGCCAGATTCCTGGGCGTTATCCTGGACGCACAGCCCATTTCACCTCTGAGGGACCGTATTGCCTTTTAATTCTTTTCTTTATGACATTATCTAGACGCTTCAGAGAAAAATTATGCCATGTATCTTAATTATTGACAGGTTGTCTGCATAGACAGTTTTTTCTGTTTGTAAATCACCAGAGGAAACGGTCTTGGCCATACTGCTCCTATAACAAAGCCATTCTAAGCCGCGTGAGCCGTTTTAGGAATAAAATCATGTATTATCAGATCAAAAAACATAGAAAACAGGGATGGAATGTGTTTAGGTCTTTATTTACTTTTTGTTTACTTAAGCATTTGAAGGGTTTTTTGTATTTGTAAACTGGGGGGGAAAAAAGCTATTATACTGAAATTAGTATAAAATGGAGACAGTAATTTCAGCACTAATTTTGAAAAAAATATTCCGAAATAAGCCAGGAATTAGAGTAGAAATTTAATGAATAAAATGCTACAGTGAAACTTGAATTTTGTTAAACAAAATGTAAAAATTGCATGTCCCTTGAATAAATGGCTTGCCTTTGTTCTACCTCAGTGGGGGGGGGGAAACTCAGCCTTGTTTCTAAGGTATCACTTTTAATTGATTAAAAAGTATAGTTTGCTTTTTAAATTTTTATAGAGTTAAAAACACGCTCAAATGTTGGGAAACATGACACTTTTTTATTATTAATCAACATAATTAGGTTAGACAGTTTAAAAACCTGCTGTCTGAAAAATATATTGTTTGCTTTTTAAATTTTTATAAAGTTAAAAACACCCTGAAATGTTGGGAAACATGACACTTTTTTATTATTAATCAACATAATTAGGTCACAGTTTAAAAACTGGCAGCTTTTTAAAAGTGTATCTCTAAGTCAGGCCGATTTTAAAAATGGTTCTCTAAGTTAGGCAATTAAAAAAACATGTAAGATAACTCAAATTATTAAAAATTGATGCCTAAATTACACAATTTGGAAAAATAGATATGTCAAAAACATTATAAACTAAGTAAATAATTAAAAATCAATACCTAAAATACACAATTTGGAAAAATAGATATGTCAGAAAATATTCAGGTATCTTTAGGCAACTCAGAAAATTTCTTGAAAATAGATTTCTAAAATCAAACTGAATACATGTTTTATCTGAACATAAAAAAAATATTTTCTGTAGTTATACCATTTAAAACGTTATATTTATTAGTCTGACTTTAAAAGATCAGTATAAGCAATCAGAGCATGTAAAATATTTTTGTAGTCAATTCAGAAATTCTAAAATATAGATTGGCAATTAAACAAAAATGGAACACTAGAATTAAAAAGAAAACATATTTTATACTATTTTTAAAAGTATATATATTTTAGAAATATATGTATTTTAATTGTGTGCATTAAAAAACAGCATGCCATGAATTTCTGAAAATAGGGGTAAAGTATTCTATCTGCAGTCTGCTTACAGTTGATTCTACAAAAAATATTCCGACTCACACACAAAATCAAATCTGGCCAGATTTTAACATGAATAAATAGAGAGGACAGTTTTCAATTTCTGGAAGTTGGAAAAGTGTTAAAAAAATTTTTTTGGGGAGGAAAACCCTTCTCTAACAAAATTTTTTTTAGAACTTTGAAAAACTCATGCAACGTTTTTCACTGCATATCTACCTACCTCTCAAAATTTTTAGATCTCATTTCTGACTTGTAAATTTAAAAACCATATAGCAAGTTAAACTATGTCTGTCAAATTTGAATATGGGCTGGGTTTTAGGTGATATTTTAAGGAAATTATTAATTAAACTGATTAATTGACTTAATTTTTAATTCTGTTAGAGAGGCCTGCTGAAATTTTTAGTGGTGAAATGTCAGAATATCACTTATTTTATAGTTTTAGGCCCCCCAAAAAAGAAAAAAATAAGGCAAAGTGTTACTAATTGTCTAGTGTAGTAATGATCATGTTTCTAAGGTATCTGTTTTAATTGATTGAAAAACATTATTTTTAAATTGCTTTTTAAATTTTTAAAAGGTTCAAAACACCTTGAAACATTGGATAACATAAGATTTTCTTTGTTATTCATAGTAATAATTAGTTCAGACAGTTTACCATTTTTTATATTTTTCTGTATACTTAAAAATTATAAAAACTTAATATATATACACCTATTATGCTAAAAACATGAAACAATTAAAAAGATAATTTGTAAATATCTAAAATGCAAGTAATTAAAAAGGAAGTAACTAAATTTTAGAGTTTAACTTAATTTTAAAAATCAGAACCTGAAATTTCTAATTCCTAGTTAGAAGAACAAGCTGTAGACATTTATTTTGGTGTGTGTGTTTGTTATCTCACACAACTGAAAATAAATGACATCTAAAGTAAGAGATATTGGTTTTTTAGTTTTAAACTTGAATTTCCACATCTTATTTAAGGGAAATGCTGTGGAAATTTATTATAAATTGGTGTGTGAATCTCACACACGATGAAACAATGCAGGACTAAAACCCTATAATTCAAGACATTTAAATATGCATTTTTTGCATCCTAATTTCAGGGAAAGATAATAAAGGCTGGTTGGTGATGATGGTGGTTATTGTGGATACTTATACGTGCATACTAAAACAGATTTATGCAGCATTCAGGCAAATATGTCACAGGAATTCAAGAAACTGTGCAGTGACAACACAAAACAATAAGTTGAAAGGGTCAGAAGGGACCTAAAGGTCATTTGACCCTGCATGCCTGGCTGTGAGAAATCCCTATGCCTGTCTTTTTGTGATGGCGATAAGAAATTCCAGCAGCCGCTCAGTCCACCGTTTGTACTTGCAAAAAAAAATGGGGAAAAAAAAAATATATGCCTCATTTAACCCCAACCATGCCTGTATCTCGCATCCTGGGGCTCCAGCATAGGTTCTGGCC